TCTGACTGCTTGCAATATTTTCTCCTTGACCTGGGAATTCTGGAATTTGGCTACAACATTCCTAGGAGTTTTCCTTTGGGGATCTCTTTCAGGAGGTGATTGGTGGATTCTTTCAATTATTATTTTGCCCTCTGGTTCTGAAATATCAGGGTAGTTTTCCTTGATAATTTCTTGAAAGATGACGTCAAGACTCTTTTTTTGATCATGACTTTCAGATAGTCCAATAATTTTTAAGTTCTCTCTCCTGTATCTATTTTCCAAGTCAGTTGTTTTTCCAATGAGATATTTCCCATTCTCTTCTATTTTTTTCATTCCCTTGTATGAGTGTTACAGTGCCGTGATTTCTCAAATTGTCCCTAGTTTCCAATTTCTCCATTCTCATTTTTAAGGAAGTATTTTCTTCAGTAAGCTTTTGGACTTCCTTTTCCATTTGACCAATTTTGCTTTTTGAGCTCTTCCATGGCCTGGGACCAATTCCTATTTTTCTTGGAGGCTTTGGATGTAGGAGCTTTGGCTTTGTTGTCTTTGTTGTCTTCTTTGTTGTCTTTGTTGTCTTCTTCTGGTTGTATGTCTTGCTCTTCTTTGTCACCAAAGTAAGATAATATAGTCTGACTCTTTTTGTACTGCTTGCTCATGATCTCAGCCAATGTCTTGAGTTATAGACTCTTTGTTAAGGTAGGAGTCTGTTTCCAATGTGGAGAATGTACTGTCCCAAGCTTCAGGGGTTTTATGTAGCTGTTTTCAGAGATACTTCTAAGGTCCTGTAAATTTTCATTTCTTCCAAGGTGCTGTGATCAAGGGCGAGGTGTTTACTCCTTTCCTGGCCTGTACTCTGGTCTATTAGCACTCTTTTCTGTCTTGGAACTGTGAGGAGAGTTTCCTCTCCACAGCCACTACAAGCTCCACCATGCCAGGGCTCCTCCTTGTCCCAGGACTGCCTCCCAGAACTGTGACCCAGACCCAAGCATGGGCAAAGCAAGAGAATCCTGCACCAGCAGAGAGATTCCTGCAATCCCCCTCTAATAGGCCACTCAATTCCCCCTCAGTCTGTGGGCTGGAAGCTCAGGAAGCAGCCGCTGCCCCAAGGAATGGGGCTGGGATCCTGTGCAGCTCCTCTCTCACCACTGCAGTCACAGACTTTTCCCATTGACCTTCTAAGTTATCTTTGGTGTTCCTGGGTTGAGAAGTCTGGAAACCACCACAGTTGTCCGAGATTCATTCCTCTGAGGCCTGCTCCAGGGTCTCTGAGACCTGCATGCCCACGCTGAATTGCGCTCCTCTCCCTGCCCGCACGATATAACTTTCTGATCAACCATCCAGGCTGTCTTTGGCTGGAAATTTGTTTCACTCTGTCTTTTTGTGGGTTCTGCTGCTTTAGAATTTATTTAGAGCCATTTTTATAGGTATTTGGAGGGGTTTAGGGGAGAGTTCAAGCAAGTCACTGCTTTTATATATGGCTCATTCTTCAAGGTATTACTCAGGTCCTATTTCTTTTAGGAAGCCTTCCCCAAACACACCAGCTCACATTAATTCTATATCTTCTTTAAAATCCTGCTATAGTTATTATTTGTATTACTTTGGTTACAGAGTGCTTTGTACTATGTTCTAGTTTTTTGGCATATATGACTTATGCTCCTGAATAGATTGTAAGTGCCCTGAGGACAAGGGTCACACCATATTTCTTTTACTCAGCACATACTGGTCATATAAATAAGAATTAATTTCATTGCCTTAAGGATCTATGATTTTATTGGTGTGAATATTCCCTTTGCTTATTTGAATCATCTTGTGTCATCTAATTAGATTTGCTTCTCAAGTTTCAGTGGGCAAAAAATATTTATCAGTTGGTGGCCTTTTCATGATGTATCTTTTAGTACTTGGCTATGCTAGTCCTCAGATGCTATACTGCCTTGATAACAGAATCCAAAAAGGCTCTGTATTGATTTTGCTTTTCTTCTTCATTAACACCCCAATAATGCTATGGGGCTGTTCTATTGCTGGCTCAATCCAGGCTAAATGTTTTGGCCCTTGATCTCTTTAACATGTTCTAATTCTGCTGAGTAGTTAATGGGATTGTTAAATAACCAAAACTAAAGACAGGAATTTCAGAAACACAACTAAAGAGCAAGGCAGTAAGGAATTCACAGAAACAAGAAAAAAAGAGACTTTTCAAAAATCGATTGGAAGCAGAATGAAAGGTTAGTGATTTTCCTCTCTCTCTTGCTCTCATTCTGAAAACAGAAAGATTAAATAGACTGATTTGAACAGATATGCTTTGAAATACTATAAAGGTTGCCTCTCTTCGTGCTGTATTGATAAACTGCCTGAGAGTATCACTGGCATTTGAGTTTTACAAGCCCAGGAAGGAAAGGAAGGGAATGGACTCCTACCGCCTTCTCCAACCCCACCTCCTTGGCTCTGGGAATTGCTTAAACAATTTCTCAGGGTGCATGTGTGTGGTTTCATGCAGTTGCATGCTGGGTTAAAGGGTTTCATCACTAGCACTCCTCCTAATTCCCACTTCAGAGGAAGGATAGTAGTGGTGAGTGAAAGGCTGAACTTCATTATTGATTACTGCTATATTGTATCAGGAGTGCAACTATCCAGAAATGCTTTATGTTCACACCCCCATTTTCTTAGTGGGGGATTTATAGACCTACTTGGCAAAATGTACTGAGGTAGAGAGGCAACATAATTCTGTGTCTTCAAACAAACAGCCACCCTGCTGCCTCTGATAAGTGTTCCTGGGATGGTGGTGATTGAAATTTAGCACTTAGAGTGCCTTAATTGGCAAACCTGTCTGTTAAGCATATGTCCCCATGTCAGTCCTACCATCTGATGTCCCAATCGGATGCCCAGCACCTAATACATGTTTGCATTTTGCTAAAGGAGTAACTTTAAAAGAAACAAACAAAAAAAGTCAGCAGTCTAGTCTGGCCACTGGAATATTCATGGATGATAGGGAATCCCTGAGCTCTGACTGTCTTTTAATGTTTCTACATTTTTTTAAAGTGTCTTTAATTCAGGGAATCTCTATAGATTGAGAAGTTTGGTGTACTGCTATGAAAGAAGTATTGAAGATTGCCCTGCTCATTCAGATTCCTTCAGTAAATTGAGTTGTGGAGAGTCAGCTGGTTGGTGGAGGCAGCTAGGTGGCTTATAAATAAAGTGCTGGGCCTGGAATGAGGAAAACCTGAGTTTAATTAAGTCTCAGACCCTTACTAACTGTGGTGACTAGGGCCGAGTCACTTAACCTTAATCCACTTAGAGTTCTAAGACCAAGACTGTCATAGCCTAGGGCTGACCAGGTTAGTTCAGGGCTGAAAAGGCTGGTCACTTGCCTTATGTTTGGAATTGGAATGAAATGAGATACTCATAGTCCTCATAGTCTATTGAAGAGTTTACAAAAGGTTTTTTTTAATATCCATGGCCAGGGAAAGACATTCAGAACAGGGAAGGGATGTTCACTTAGGATGTGGTTCATTCAGCTGGCCTGTACTGCTATTGGTCTTCAGTACTCTGACCTAGGAAAGAGCTACTCAAGTCCTGGATGGTTTTTGTTTGTTTGTTTTTGTTTTTGTTATTAACTCAGGCAACCAGGAACCTATGTGAAGGGGCTAGAATCACATTCCCCTTTGAAAGGGTAGGTAGGTTCAATACATTTCAGGGGAAAATTATCTTAACCTGCCAGGGAAGGGTTTTTGGATATTGCCCCCACCACAAATGCAGAACAAATATCTGATGATGTAAGGACCACAGAACACATCTGAAGGCAATGAGTAAGCCCACTGTGTTTTCATTGTCCACTTTGGGCACAATGAACAGCATAGAGGAGTCACTTTGGTGCTGATCTTTGAATTATCCTGGCTTTTGGAGGCTCATTTCCCTTAAATGCTCAGTGTAATTGGAATATCTACTGGCCCTGAGTAGTGAGTACAGTCACAGAAAGCAGTAGGCCTACTGCAAGCTAAAAATGTATTTTGTGTGGTTGAAAGGACTGGGGTTTGGGAAGAAAGAAAAGTTATGGGATCATAGATATAGAGCTGTAGAGGAATTTAGAGGCCGTCGAGTACAACTAACACATTTTACAGATGACAAAAATGAGACTCACTGATATTTGGGTGACTTTCCCAAGGTTGAATAGTCAGTAAGCATCAAAAGTGGGATTAGAATCCAATTCTCTGACTTCTGAGTTGGTATTGTTTCCACTAGAACAAGCTGGTGTGGATTCTACTCTGAAAATAATAACAACAACAACAACAACAACAATAATAATAACATGCCCTGGGAATGAGGTACCAGCTTGTATGTGATAGCAATTTCTATTTCATGGATAACAGGCAAAAACTGGTATCTTCTAATGAGATTATAAACGTCTTGAGGGCAAGAGCTAAGGCTTATGTTTCTTTATATCCCTACAGCAAACTGCTGAGCCCCCAATAGTTGTTTATAAAACAAATAAAAGGAGAGATGAATGGCTAAAGTTACATTGTTGCAGGCACAGTGAGACTAAAAACGGAAATGAAGTGAACTTAATTTAGTTTGCTGGTGAGTTCCAAGCATGCTTTCCCAGGAAATAGGGGCACTTTCTTCATTCTTGTTTGAAGTAGGTGATGAGGTGGGTGAATCTAAGCCCAGGAAAAAGATTCACAGCTGTCTGTTCAGCAAAGCAATGGCCACCATTTTTTTTCTTACCTTTAAGGAGATTACTCAAGGGAGGACCAGGCAAGCTAGAGGCTGAGTCCTCAGGGTTAACATTTATCATCAAAGAAATTTCTTGGTATTAGGTAGCCATGTAGTGTAGTGGGGTGAAAGGCCTGAGTAGTTCAGCTCATGGCCCAGCCAAGACTTTCCACATCAGTTTAGGCAGAAAGCCTTAACAATTCATTCAATTATGTTAAGCGCCCATTAAAGGAATCCTAAGCCTTCCCATGGGCCATTTCAGTTCTATGAGATTGTAATTGTTTGAGACTAAGCATGATTTCTTCTTTTGCCTTCAGGTGATTCTAATTTTGACGAAGCTCTACGACTATAACCTAGGGAGCATCACTGAGAGCTCACTTTGGAGGTAAGTAGATAAATTGCCCTAATAATTACTGAGTTACTTAAACATGAACATTCTGGCTATGTCTCTTATTGAATTTAATTGGATTCTCCCCCACTCCTCTGTTACATTGGAGAAGTTTCACCCTGAATTCCCTTCCTTTCTTTAAGATGGATCAAGCTGTCGTATATCTTGCGTAGGGGAGGTGCTGCAGCCTGTACGTATTTGAGGACTGGATCATTGCCATGTTGTTATTTTCTTGATTTTAGTCTGACTCATACTTCAAAATCATTTATTTCTAAAGTGTTTCCATTTTATTTCCCATGATTCCCTGCTTCTTGGAGGTCCTAACATTGGTGAAACAAGCACCATTAAGCCACCTTTACAGAGAGGTTCACCCATATTTCTGGGCCTGCTAAACAAAACAAAACAATTTTTTAAAAAGTCATTTCTTTAACTCAGAGAGAAGTAGCATGATTTGGTGTCTAGAAATCCTTCCTCGTAACAAGGAAGACAAGTTCAGATTCCACTTATAACACACACTGAACGTATAACCTTGAGCAAGTCACTTAACTTGTCAATGCTTTTGGCAACTCTCTAAGACTATAAGATGCAGAGAACATGCTAATCTGCATTGGTTAGAGGGCTTCCTCCCCCCGGAGTTCTCTCTACCAGTGAAATCAAGGTCCAGTTTCTGTTCTTATCCCATCCTCAACTCATAGTTTGCATTGGGCTCAACCATATTGCCAATGCCATTCCTTGCTCCTCTTCCCTGCTCTGATTTCATAATCTCAATGAACACATTCAGAGTTGCTTTCCACAGTATACACAATACCCAATTAGCATATTAGTTGAAATGAATTACATACACACGCAAACTTAGATAAAAACAAAATAGATTGTTAAATTTTGTTATAGAGGTCGATAACATTTCTTCTCAACTGACTACCCAATTTCCTTCATAACCAAAGAATCTGAGAATTGGAAAGATGAAAAAAAATAATTGCAAAGGACTCTAGAGGTTCTGCCTGTAACTAAAGCATGATTTCCTTTAATGGAAAGCTAACAAATAATCATCCAACCTTTGCCTGAAGACCTCCGGTGGAAGCAAGCAAACCACATTATAATTTGACTTTATGTCTGGCTAGATTCCTCCTAGGCAAAGTAGCTTTAGTGGAGTAAAATGAGCAGTGTATCTTGATCAGAGAACTGGGGTTTGATTTCTGGCTCTTCTCCTTACTACTTGTATGACCTTTAGTGTGTCACCATATCCCTCTAGGGTTACTCCTTCACTTATCAAATGAAAAGATTGTGTTAGATTCTACCGGGTTCTAAATCCTATGATCTATTATGTAATGTGGGAGTTACTGGGCAGAGCAAACATAGGACTTGAAGTTCTTATTCTCATCTATTCTTGCTAGAAGGTATTGGGAATGTTGAATTCATAGGGCCAGTTTTTCAAGACATCAAGGAAGCTGGAAAACTTGCATCTCTGCTATGAGGAAGTTGTGCATATTAATTAGTGTTTTGTGGCATCTCATTGGGGTTTTTAAAAGCTCTGACAGAAGCAATCCAGAAATCTTCTTAGCCCCCCTTTTTTAATGGGTCTGACATTCTTTTTGTGAGAAGGGTGAATAATGGGAGAGCAGCACCATTATTTAAATACATTAAATCATAGTGTTTTTTCATAACTTGAGCTCTGCTTCCTTGATGGATACCAAACATCAAACAAACTCCTATAAAAATGAAAAGAGAAGCCAACCTTTTTTCATCAATGTTCTTGGCCACATAAAGAGAAGCCAGCATGTTGGAAAATGAAAAGATAAGCTGTTCTGTTTCAATGTGTCAGTCTCTTACGACAGTCATTCTCTTTCCTCCGAAAGAATAATAAAAGGAGTTAGGACTTTCTGTCAGTCTGAAACCTCAAATTAAGCCTGTTCTTCTCTCAGCACATACCATGGCAGTTTTCCCCACCTAGGGAAGAATGCTCATTTAAGGTATGCATAAAGCAACAAAAGAAAAAAAATATCCTTAATGCCAACCCCAAAGTTGCCTATTCTCTGCACCAGGACCCAAAGATAGTATTACAAGTGTGGGCTGTACTATAAGTGAGGTTCCTTTGAAGAGTGGTCCCCTAACTTTCGGGTCTGTAGATCCTGAGAGGCTCTGTGGACCCACCTGCTTTCAAACAACTCCTGCCCATCATTATGCATGATGGGAGTGGGGGAAAGGCATCATAGAATTATAAATTTTGAGTGGGATCTTTGAGGTCATTTAATGCAAACCTTCACTTTACATATGGGGAAAGTGAATCACAAGGGGATTGCCTAATGTCACATACAAAATAAATGGTGGAAGTTGAATTTGAACCCAGACATTCTGACTCCAAATCTGGTACTCTTTCCTCTGGACCACATTGACTCCTCAAGTCTTGTGGAAGAGTTGCTCAGAAATGAACCATTACTTTGGCTATGTCATAAAATACTTTGGCCAGAGAAGGAGTAAGAAATATAAGAATAAAGAGTGTTATGAAAATCCAGGGAGGAAAGAGTATCTAGGAGGAAGGAGGGGTCAGTAATGTCAGATGTTGACGAAAGGTCAAATAGGACAGAAAAAACAAAACAAAACAAAAAAAACCCACTGGATTTAGAAATTAGGTTGTTGGTGACATTGGAGAGAGATGGCTATGTTGAGTCATGAGGTTGGAAGGCAGATTGCAAAGGGATTAAATGAACAGAGATATGAGAAAGTGAGGATAGTAAGTGTAGACAACATTTTCTAGGAGGCTATGAAAGGGAGAAGAGATATCGGATAGCTTGAGAGGAGAGTAGGATCAAGTTAAAGGTGTTTTAATTTTTTTTCTTTAGAAATGGATAGATATGGGTTTGTAAACAATAGAGAAGAATCAAATGTATTAGGTAACTGAAAATTAAGGGAAGAGAAGCTATTCAAAGAGTCAAATTCTTGGAAGAGGTAGGAAAGAATAGCATGAAGAGACAAGCAGAAGGGTTGGCATTTGCAAGAAGGACCATCTCTCTCCAGTTCTATCACCTGACACTTCTAGCCCCATTGCTCCAGCCCTTCAACAGGCAAGGCCTCATTGCCAACTGCCTTGGATTTTCAAAAACTTTTCTAAGAGGTCTTCCTGACCTTATTCTTCGCTTCCTCTAAAATCATCTTCACATTACTGTTAGATTTAACTTTTTGTACATAGATAAGAGTCATGGCACTCCAACGCTCTACAGGTTCTCTACTGCCTACCAAATAGTATTCAAAGTTCTATCTGGCATTCAAGGCCCTTCACAATTGGACACAAGTCTACCTTTCTGACCTTGTCTCTTGTAATTTTCCTTCATGTATTCTATACTTCCAAATATAGTGAATTACCGCTCCTATAGATTTATTTCACTTTTCTCTTTCTTTGCTCATGTTGTTCTCTATCATTACAAATGCTACTGTTGGAAAGAATTTGGGCTTCAATTTGCCTAGTGGGAATTGAAACATTTGTCCAGCAGGTTGTTTGTGGTTGTCTGAAACTAAACAAAACAGACATGACTTTTCTTGTTGGATGGGGAATGTTTAACAAACACGTATTTTTTTTCTTTAAATGTAAACCAAGTTTATTTTGCTTTTAAGTAATGTTCTTAAAGTACTGCAGCATGGTAAACGATGTAAATAGTATAAGTCATCGCAAAAGCCAAAGGATTTTTATTTCAATGAGTTATTAAAAAGATGCAGCCTATTCTAACAGGATAAATATTTTTAACTATTTCGCCTCTCATTGAGGAAAACAAAAAGCTGTTGTTGACAAAGTGACAACACATACATGCAAGCAAAAGAACTAACATGTACTTTTAATGGAATTTCTAGCTCAGTCTAAACAACTCAATATATCAGACATGACTGACTTACGTTAATAACAATGTTTTATCAATTAGTCTAAAGATAATTAAACAGATAAGCTTCTCTACAAAGAGAATTGGAGTAGATTATAAGTCATTATTTCTCCTAAGGCATTGTTTGATTTTCTTGACATGAGATCATATGGGCTTGCTGTTCTATGCACTGAAGCCAAGAATGAAAACAAAAGGAGAAACCAAGAGAGTTCAATAATAATTCACATTTACATATCATTATAAAGTTTCCCTCCCCAGGGTATCTTTATTTTATTTCTTTATTTTCACTTCCAAATTCTCTCTCTCTCCATCTATCCGTTCCACCACCTATTGAGAAGGCAAGAAATATGACCTCCATTGTACACATGAGGTCATGCAAAACATATTTCCACATTAGTCATGTTGGGGGAAAAAAAGCAAGAAAAATGAAGTGGAAAAAAAAAGCTTCAATCTGCACTCAAAGTTCATCAGTTTCCCTCTAGAAGTGGATAACATTTTTCATCATGAATTCTTTACAATTGTCTTGGATCACTGTATTGATTAGAATAGCTAAGTTTTCACAGTCTATCATCATTACATTATCACTGTTACTGTGTCCAGTGTTCCCCTAGTTCTGTTCACTTCACTTTGCATTGGTCCATATATGTCTTTCCAGGTTTTTCTGAAACCATTCCATCCTTGTTATTTTTTATAGCACAATAGTATTCCATCACAATCATATATCATAATTTGTTTAGCCATTCCCCAACTGGTGGGCATCCCTTCAGATTCCAATTCTTTGACACCACAAAAGAGCTGCTATAAATATTATTACACATATGAGTCATTTTCCTTTTTCTTAGGTATCTTTGGGATATAGAACTAGTAGTGGTATTGCTAGATCAAAGAACATTCACAGTTTTATAGCCCTTTAGGCATAGTTCCAAATTGTTCTCTAGAATAGTTGGACCAGTTTATAAGTCCACCAATAGTGTATTAGTGTGCCAATTTTTCCATATCCCCTCCAGTATTTATCATTTTCCTTTTCTATCATTTTAGCCAATCTGATGGGTATGAGGTCATACCTCTGAGTTGTTTTAATTTGAATTTCTCTTATTAGTGATTTAGAACATTATTTTTCATATTATT